TCAACAGCTTATTCTGGTGCTTATCTAACATTTTACAAACATTTTTTTCCTAGTAACTACCTTAAATAGTGTTCCTGAAAAATAATTCTAATTCTTTCCTTAATCACAGTGGGTACAAAAGAGAGTTTTTCTCTGCAGCTCAAGAGATCTTCTGTCCTAGAATAAACAACCTCAATTCTCTACGCTTTTTATTTATTTATTCTCATATTGCTCCTCTCCTTCAGAATCTTGAAATTTATGTATGTAATATCTGTATGTGGTAGCCAATAACCACAGTACCATTCTGACTTCCAGTGACATATTCATGCTGAAGGACTTTGACCTAGCTGTGAATGATAATGATGTGACAAAGAAAAATTGGTGGGACACAGTGCTACCCATCTCATATTCTCTGTGTGCCTTAAACACATGACTCCATTACCCCTTCTCAGCAGAAATTTTCCCTTGAAGTGTGATTCTCGACATATGACGCAGCACTTCAGCTGAAGCTCTCCAGCACCAGTTGCTCGAGAGCAATATCCAGGTTTCATTTCTCACAATGCAATATCAGTTTTCCTAAATCTCAAAATAACATTTACTTTCTTGGAACAGCATAGAACTCTTACATTAAAACTTTGGCTCACAGCAACTCCTGAAACAGTCTCCATGATACTAATGCCTTGCTGGTTATTCTGCACTTAGTGCTGTACCTCTCTTCTTCCTTCCTAAGTCTACACTTTGCATCATCTTTATCACATTTCACATTCTTGATCTAAATACTCAGCAAGGTGACTTTGAACGCTAAGCTTGTCCTGCCTCGCTCTAGTTACATCACCCAAACGGTGCACCTACCAAAAGGAATTCTCCATTATCCACCTTAATACTAAAGTTGAATAGATCAGAGAAAAGATTATTGCAAAAATCTCTTGTATCTCACCTGACACGTTTTATTAGTTTTAAAATCAGTCACTGATACCAGTTTGGCAGCTTTGGTTTCTAACTTTCCAAGCACCAGGTTGCATCTTTATTTTCTAATTTTTATGGGAGAATACCAGGCATAAGGTTATACCACAAGACATAATAAGAGTGGATATAACCTACCTATTCCCACTCCTGTTTCCAGATCAACTACTCTGTCAAAGGAGCAAAATAGTTCAGTCTGATAAACTAATTATTAAAAAAAAAAATGCAATATCTCCTTCAAGACAAGAGTCAGGCTATACATTTTTCATCACTTTCTTCACTTTCTCCAGACATCGGAGATCTCAATTAACCTCCACAGTCCTCAAAGACAAAAAATTGCATTCTGTTACCAATAAGCAGTGTTGAACAAACTCAGACAAGCCATCAGGATGTATGTATCTCTTCTGCCAGGTTTAGATTGTTATAAAATAAAATGTACGCAATTTTAAAGGAGTTTTTACAAAAACACTTCCCAAAAGTCTGTGAAACTTACATTTATCTTGTGATCAGTGATCTGGTTTTCCTCACCTGCAGCCATGAATGATTTGCTTTAAGTACATACAATTAAAAGGAGCAGATGAAAAAAAAAAAGGCACTAAGATACATAAACAGACTTGCACACGATGCCCAATTTCTAGAGCAGAACTATGACTATTTTACAGCCCTCGCCTCTGGTGAGCCAACTGCTAGGCCAGCTGGTATCTCCCCCCCTCCTGCTATAGCTCTTTAGTCACAGTCAGGGATTGTCAAGTCTTGCTGGGTAGCAGGGTGGATGCAAACGGCTGCTGAACTTTTGCGAAAGCGACTTGCAGCTTGCCGGCTGCCACGTGCCCTGCTCTGCCTGGCTGCTCCTCAGCTCTCTGCCTGCTCCCATGGCAGCTCTGGCAGCTCCTGATCATCACTGCAGCCCTATGAGCAACTGCTGCTACTGCAGACTTAGCAGGAAGGAACAGGGTCCTGAAAACCATCACGGCATGCAGAAGTTTAGAGCATGCACAAGGCTCTAAACAGCTTCTCCCACGCCAAACAGACTTCTCCAGCCTTTTTTTGTGGCTTTAAGCTCCAACTTTTGCATCCCAATGCTAAAAACTATTTTCTTCATTGCTATTATAATTACAAACTTTGTTCTACTATTTTTAATGCATCTCCATTGCAATAAAATAACATATAAAATAAATATGGCTTTGGTCTGGCCATTTCCTTCTTTCATTTGTCTCCCTTTTGGAGGTAATATCAAATATCATCTGAGCACTTCACCTCTGATGGACTTCTCTTCCCTCTGGATATCCGGAGAAGGCATTCATCTTAGGGCTTCCCTATTATACTTTGCACATATGTGACTTACGTGAATGTCCTTCAGTCTGCTTTTTCCCTGTCTGTGTTATCAGCACTTTGCTGTTAATATTACTTCTATTAAGCAGTGGGTCACAATTAAAACTTTGTTTTGTTTAGTTTTTGAGGAAGAGGGGAGGAGGAAGGAGAAAGTATTGAAACAAAAGGGTCCTTGAAGGCTTTAGCTTTCTCTTCTATGTCATTCATTACTTATCCACCTCCCCTGTGAGGTCTTGAGCTTCATTTTCCTTCAACTTTTTCTTAGGTCTAATGTCACAAAACATGTTCTTTATTCCTGCAATGTTTCCTGCTAGTTACATTTCATTTTATTTCATTTAGCCATTCTTCCTAGTATCCACAAGACGGTGATTTTCCAGACTGCCAGTTTGGTAAAACGTCAGAAGAGATTTAACCCAATGGCTGAAACGATCAGCTCATTGGAGCTTGTGAGCCCCAAGACTGTTCCATCATGTAAAGCTAAGTGTGGTATATCAGGATGTGAGAGACACAGCAGAAAAATCTGCTCTAATAACATAGCAGAAGCCTCAGCTCCCAGGATGAAATGTTTTGCCCCCTCTGAGAGAGCAGCAAAGTTGCTACAAGAATCAAAAGTGAGAAGCAGGACGGACAAGCAGGAAAGCAGATCTGGCCACAGCAGGGACTTTGTCCACAGCAGCGTGTTTCCACCACTGTTGAAGATCTGCCTAAATGCAATCTGTTAGACTGACTGCTGCCAAGGAGCTCTGCCTTTCTCAGTACCGATTGCTGCTAAAAGCCGCCTTTGCTCCAGAGCACTGCTGTGCCTGGCTGGGATCTGTGCTTATTGCCTACCTTCCCTCTCAGGAGCAGGTTTGTGGTTCTGGGTAAGCTGCAAAGACAAACTCACAAGCCCAGTATTAAACACAAAAGACCAAGGAGATTTTGCTTCCTTCAGTTTAATTGGATGAGGCTGCTCAGAGAAACAGGGAAAAATCATGAGTGTGAAGGAAGACTCTCTTAAAACTCTTTTAACATCAACTCTTTATTTTTTTTCCATTCATATAAAAACACTGAAAGGAAAAGCAGAATTTGTTTCCAACTATTTTTATTCTTATTTTTATCACAGCTCCACACTTAAAACTTCTGTCATAGAATGATAGAAAAAATAATTCAACGATGTAATTCAGTGAATTACAGTAATCTTAACACTTAACAATATATCAAACCTTATTTTCTTCTGCATTAAACTGAGTCATAAGATCTAGACTTCAGATTTGGATAGACTATCTAGTGCAAAGTCACACTGATGAGTTGAATATTGACAGCATCTTTAACACCTCTTCGACCAATTTTTTGAACCTACAGGATCACATCTGCAATTGTGTGTTTGTTTTCTATTTCCCCAAGAGTGTGTTTTGAGTAACAATACAATTTAATTTGATTTTTTTTCCCTTTTCAGGTATCTAATACTTTCTATATGCATTCAGAAATGCTTCCCAGAATCAGTCTGTCCTAAAAAAAAAAAAAAAAAAAAAAGACTACAATTATGGAGCATTCCAATCCCTTTAATTTTGGGGCATTATTCATTTTGATTTAAATTCAGGTGTTTGGGCAGTAAATCAAGCTAAATATCACTAAAATTAGGGTTTGTATATATGAGAAAATTAACTTCTATAACCATAATCAAATAATTATAAAGATTTATCTAGGTCAGCATAATTCCCCTTTTCCAGTGAAGAGTAATTATACTGAATAAAGCCACGTTAATTCCAGAACAGAATGTCCACATGGGGAGCTATATTGAAACAGCTGTAGTAAAATAATTACTTGACTACAGCTATGCCACTCAATTTCCCCCTGCAAGCGAGCTATCAAAATAAAAATCTTGCCTCTTTCACAGAAGCTCAGTTATGTTGGCGCAATCCTCTTCCATAAACAAGGGGCTTTGCCAGCAGAACAAATGCAGAAAGTGGAGAAATTGAAAATTTGCTTTTCCATTCAGCAGTGAGTGGTGAGGCACTCTGATACATACTGGTGCTTTTCTACCACTTAAAAGGCTCTGAGATGCTCTGTGATGCGGTGAGAGAATGAAGAGTGCCCATCCAAGCTGTGACCTTTGGTCTAAGGCAATACATATTTTATAAATGTTCACATTTATAAATGGATTGCAGTGGTAGAATTTCAGATGAAAAGAGAAGATACAGAGGCTGTGCTACCCACCTCCAGTGATGACTGCTGGATTCCTTCTGGGTAGCAGGTCCTCTTCCCTGTCGCAGCCTCGATGTTGTCAGTGAGCTGACATTGTGTTGAATGAACCTGTTTTCACAGCTTGGGAGCCCCTTGGGGCTCACTCATGTGTGTTTGTATCAGTGCACACACAAAAGACATGCAATGGTCCTCTCTACTTTTTTGCTGTTGTCACTAAAATTGGGTATGAGGTGAGTTGAATAGAAACTGAATTGCATCTCTCTTTTACTAAGTAAAGTTTTTTAATAGTACAGCATGGTGTAGGCTGGTTGATTACATATTACCTTCATTCAATAACTAGTGTTTGCAGACAAAATAATTCTTTCTTCAGCCACAGAGTTACACAGTAGAAGCTAGACCACCTCAAAGTCCCTTCAAAATTTTACTCCCCAAACTCTCAGTACCTTAGAAAAATGCACAGACTGAAAAAGTCTTGTCAAACCTGAAAACTGTTTTTTTTTTTTCCTGAAAAAAGACAGAAAAGCTGGGTTGCAACTCACCTCGATCTGTGTCATAGAGGAAGACAAAGCGGTTCCACTCGTAATGATCCAGCAAGCTCAGGAGGGCTCCCCGCAGGGATGGTCGCAGCTGCAGCACGAACTGGCTCTCACCCTCTGTGGGGAAACTCGGTGTGATGAGGGAAATGTGCAAGGCGCTGCAGAATGAGGTCAAGGTGTGTACGGATCTCTTATCGTACAGTCCAAAAATGGCAAAAACTCCTCTAGAATACTGGGAGCAAACTGAAAGAAAAAAAAAACAGATACAGTTTGACTAAAAAAAACATGTACAGGTCAACTAGCAATAAAATCTGTACACACATATTTAAGCATCCCAGTCTTGTTAATTTAGTGATTTCCATTTCTGCCTATGTGATTCAATTTTCACATGTGTTTCATTCTGGAATCAGTAAATAAATAGCTAAATAACATATCATTAATTTTGATCCTAGCTGTAGAACATTACACTATCTAAAGCATTTTAATGCTAAAATAAACAAAGTATAAACAAAATAAGATTTTTTTTGTATGCCAGTGAAAAGTCATTCTATGCTGTTTTAATCATTCTTTTAATAAATATGAATATAATTTGTTCATTTTTTTTCTTTGCACATTGCTAGTGTGCATATATTCTGCATATTATCCATGCATCTGTGCATATTATTAGGCCCTGAATATTTTCAGCAATTTAAACAGAAAAGTGTCCACATTTCAAAATATAAAATCTCCTCTTTATCACAAATGTCATTTAACTCACAGGTAAAATTTGGACATTTCGAATTGTAACAATTTAGAAATCTCATTCCTTTTTACACAGACAGTCCTTGCACAGCATTGAGACTCAGCTACAGCTACTGCATAGAAACTTACTTTCAGAATAACCTCCTTGACTTTAAGAGACTAACTGAGGGCAAATGTAGTAGCTAATGTGACCAGGCTCTTTCCCCAGAATCTCTTTTTTTTTTTTTTTCTACTCTATGTCAAGCTCTGAACCAGAAAACAAATGACCTCAATCTATATTTTGATTTTTGATTTGCTCCTGGGCTCATTTAAGTCATAAAGAAACATTTTCATTGAATTTAGCAGACTGGAAAAGGGCTTTTACTAATCCATGCACATAAAAACAGGCATGAAGCTTTTTTTTTTTTTTCTTTTTTTTTTTTTGAGTGCTGCCTTTTTAACCACTCATAAAGGGTGCAATAAAAAATGTTCTAACTTACTAGAAACTCTGTGTGATCATTAAGAGTGATGTTACTTATCCCAGTATCACAGAAGCTAGAGAAAGAACAGTCAGTTAGGTGGTCATCATATCCACTTTTTACAGATTATTTATTTCCTAAGCCTCTCCTATTTTCTGCACTCTGCATGTACACTGAAAATGAGACCTTAAATTCATCCTGTTTTAACTTGACTTCATGTCCTCAGGTCTCCTTTCCCCTAGAAGGTGGAATACACAGTCACCCTGTGAAAGCAGCAGGGCTTAGGTGCAGTTGTACCATATGTAGCAAACATGCTTCTAGACATAGATAGCAAACAGGCCTACTCAAACTAATTCAACTTGCCTATTATAAAGAACTTCTTATTCCTGAACAAAGAGCAAAAGATAAACAAATTGTGCATTTTTATGGTTGGATTTGTGTAATTTATCATTGTACTCAACTCAAACACAAGCAGTGGGACCTGTCAAGACTGCAACGCAGAGCTGGGGAGATGCTCTGGAATTTTATGTGCCACCTCACACTCACAGCCCCCAAACTCACCATATTCATAGTTGGTTTACACATAAATACTTCAAAAACTTAAAAAGCTTTCTTCCTTGCCCTTCAATAACCCCTTTCAGTGTTTATTTTGCCAAACCACACAAGACAGGCTCTTCCAGACCCACCTAATGATTGGCTCTCCATTCCGCCAACCATTCCAAAAAGTGCTATTCTGCACTTTCTCACTTTCATCCCATCTTTCTTGAACAGAGATGGCCAAATTTTCAAAATTTTAGTTGAAGGCTTTCTGCTGTCCTTCCTCATCTGTACTGTAAAATACTTCTGCTGACATATCCTAAGATCACATTTGTTTTTTTCCTGCATCTACATCAAAATGATGACAGATGATAATCTTTGGATCAAAATTCTGCCTTTTTTTTAACTTCTTGGCTACTTCCAAATGAAGAATTTCTGCTTATAGCATAATATTTTGGTTAGTCACCAATGCACAAGTTTTCCTTTACATCGTGTCTATTGTCATAGATATGATTATCATAACCTTAAAATAATTTATTTGCGGCTATATTCTTAGCCTGCTTTGAACTTACATTACCTATAGCTGCTTCACCATCAAAATGTCATTAGGGTACAATATCTTACTCCATTAGTTATGTTAGGTTGTTATATCTCTTTCCATCAGTGTTTGCTGCCACCTTCCCCTTATTTAGTTTCCTGCCCACCTGACAATCCTCCTGTTTGCTTCCATTTTCATAGAACACTTTTTGTAGTAGCATGACTATTTTATGTTACTCCTTTTGTAATAGGAAGATATTGGTTCATCCAGTACTTTTTACCTTAGTAATTTCCTGTTGCATTATATCTCATTTTCTATCTCTGTACTGTAAAGTTTCCTTTCCTTCAAAATTTGTTTTGTAACTTTACAGACTGTTCATATTAAGACACAAGGCCTGTGGCAGCCAGATTCTATCCTCCTTTTAAAATAGATATTATATTTCCTATTTACTGATCAATGTATCACCATTAATTTAAGAGCTCTGCCAAGAAGCAGTTGTTATTACATCTGCCCTTTAATTAGACAGTTCCTTAAGAATCATGAAAAAATAGATTATTTCTTTACTCCCATTAGCTTCTTTTAACATCAAAGTCTTCTGTCAGTGAAAGTCAAAGTGAAGTATGTGTTACTTTTAAGTCTGTAGCAAGGTATTTTTCTTATGTTCCATTCCATCATCACTGTATAAAGGTGATGTTTTATAGATGTAAATGACCTTCTGCTGCTATTAAATATTCTTTGGAAGTCTCAGTTTTCACTGGCAGCTCTCACTTTGTCTCTAATTTCTGCGACAAATGTCCTTTATACCTCCTGATTTCATCAACATAAGCCTTCTTGCTGATAATCACTTTTTAAGCACTTGCTTTTCATATGTTCTGTGTATAATCACTCATCCAGGTTGGTCTGAAGACACATCCCATGTGTTATTGGGGGATTTCTCACTTTTTTAGAACTCCTAATGTGGGGATGTTTGCAGACTTCTCTGTAAGTGCAAAACCATTGACTTTGCCAACAGAAATAGTTGAATCCACACCTTGTGCACATAAGAACAAGCTAATTAGTGTATTGTATTTAGAGAAAATGCTTGGACAGGCTTTGCTTTGCCTCACTCTCTTCCAGTCAGTTTCACGTGAACAAAGCGTTTTCTTCATACAACACAGTCCATATAGTGGGCTTCCACATACCAAAAAATCAAGAGATTGATGTCAGGCTGTGAAACGCACCACTTCATGGAGTTAAAGCTCAAACTCATTTTCAGGATGGAGGAATTTTTTTAAAAAGAAAGAAAAAAGTAAAATTCAAAAATTAATTTAAAAATACCATAAGGCCCTAAAATACCTTTCTATACTAATAACAGAAGATTTTTTTCAAATAAAACAACACTTTCTCTACCCTAGAACCAAACGCAGTAAAATATTTCCTGAATGTCCTTAAAGCCCTTAAATAAACCCATACAAGAAAGCAAATGCAGCCATACTTGAGGTTAAGGCTGGGAAATTACTGAGTAATTTCCTTTGCTCCTGGATAAGAAAAAATGGCAAGATTAGGGTTATTCAGTTTTTTTTTCTTTCTCAGTACAATACCCACAGAGAGGAAAAATGCCTGTGACACTATGGAGATTAGGTTTAAACATATGCAGAGATGCTTCAGCGCTCCTGAATCAATTTTACAGTAATCAGGAGCCACCACAGAAATCAGCAAAGCCATCAGGATTTGCATTCTGACTCACTACTGTTCTCAGAAAAAAGCCTCAAGGCAAACATGACTACCTGGACTTCTCAATTCTTTATCTACTTCTCTTACTTCTCTTTAAAGTCATTTTACTTATTATAAATTGAGTAAATTATTCTTGGTACAACATCTTCTCATATTAGTATTTCAAGATAATTTTGTTCAAGACTTTTTTTCCCTATAAAGCAGTGATAAATAGATATGCTTTGCTATGCATATCTTCTCATTCTTGAGAAAGAATTTGTCTTTAAACCAGAAATCTCTTCAAAGTTGACAACTCAATTCTAGCATTACACAAGATCTTCACCTGTAAATATAGCAATACCATTCTCCAAAGAGAAGCTGAAGTTAGAGGTCAGACTGTAGAGAAGATGTAATGCACCTTACATATCCTAGATAATGTTATTGCAGTAGATATAATTTGTATTAGATACATATTATAGTAGTCTAGAAGAACTATATTACAGTAGTATCATTTTAAACAAACAAGTTATCATTTTAAACAAAGGAGTGACTCATGATACCTTCAGTTACATGAAGAAATCATAATGGCAGAACTGCAGGGTTGACTGAGACACACAGTAAAGCCACAGATCTTGTTACTGTTGTAAAAATAAGCCCCATACTTTAAAGACAGATCTTTTCCTGAGAAGGAAAAAACAAAACGCCTCATTTTTCTACTATTGACTATTTTCCAAAAGTTAATCTTTTAAATCATCTGAAGGGGCGCTGGTTAAGACACAATCCAAATATATCTGTAATCATAATCATAAAAGTGACACAAAAGAGATCAAGTGAAAGTGTATTAGTTCATGAGAAAGGTACACATGCAAATACATAGCCATAGATAAATAACTGCACATAGATTTGTTATATTGATCGTGTTTCATTGTTTTGTCAGGTCCAAACATTTTATAAATTCTTCAAGACCTAAACATCCAAACACAATGCATTCTTCTTTAAAAAAGCCCTACTCTAACAGTCTCTTAACAAAACAAGACTGGTAAGTAGAGCACTGTGGATTCTGCCAAGAGCATTAGTTCTGCTCAGCAGCCTGGAAATAGCTGGAATCCGCAGCACGCAGACACACACTCACAAGGTTTCCACCAGCTCTGTGTTTGATACCACACAGGAGACTGGACGACCCATGGTTTAGCACGCTAGAAGCATGGAAGATCTTGCTTCAGAGGCACAACTTTACGACTCGAGCTTTTGTTATATCTACACTCCAGAACCATTAT